AACCAGTGAGTGGACCGGTCTCTATATGGGATCCGAACCCTCGGCAGGAGCGCCACCACTCCCAAGCGCTGCACTACCGAGTGCGCCACCGGACCAGCCCCATATCTTTAATTTTTAATCATTAAGAAAATTTTAAATCATTTCTTTGTAGAAGGGTGGTTGGCATTTCCCCAAATAATACAAATACAAAATATGTATTTATTTTTTTAACTTTTTAAATTAAATATTGAACAACTCATGGAACTTCAGTCATGGAATACCTTTTTTTAAGTATGTAAATTATATCCCAGTACCAGTTTATTCCCTGATGTCATCAATGAAGAAGAAGAGTAGCCTCCACATACATCATAAATATGTTGGGAGATGATTATTGTTTTATTACCTGTTATATTTTCTCACTTAATTTATATTACATTTAAATAAAGCATTTGTAAATAAATTGCCAAGTTCATGCTCCAAACAGCTTGTGTATATTTTAGTCTACTATGTAAACGAAGATGAGAGAGACCAAAATCTACCTAGGGTTGTGAAATCTTTTCTCATTCTAATGCATATTGAAGAACAAATTGAAGTTATAACAAAATAAAATATTTTGAGCATCTCATGAAGAAGTTTTGTAGATTTTCTTTAATGAATGCTTTCATATTTTCTAGTTGAATAAAATGTCAGTCATGTAATCTTTGAGTCAGAGGGAGATTATTTCAACCTCTCACTTAATCCGTAATGGTTTCTGATTTTTTCTTAGACATTTAGTCAAATCCTTGTAAGTATATTTATAATAGATGCCACCTTCTCAGATAAGAAATCTCTGTCAAATGAATTGCTAAAATTATTTTTAGGTCAGGAAATTTATTATTTTTTTAAAAGAGCTTAGAAATCATCCAAAGAAGCTATCAACGGAGAACGTTTGCTATATTTTCTCATGGTTTAATGCACCCTCTAGTAAAACTCAGCAGTCAACTTTTTAAAATCTCAGTGGTTTTAATATATTTGTGGCATTTTTCTTAGGGATAGTAAAGCACTGAAGGATGAAAATCTACCTCCTGTCATCTGCCAGGATGTTGAAAATCTCCAGTAAGTGTCAAATTTAATTAGA